GGTATGTATTTATTATAATTGTAGATGACAGCGGGTGAATTGAAATTTGCCCTTAAAGTAGAATCAGTTCTTAATTCCTTACCTGATCCAGAGTATCGTCAGTTAGTGGTTGAGGTTCTTATGCTCACTGCTCTCATTAATCCCGAGAGACCACTCCCACAAATTGTGAATGTAGACGATGTTATTAGAACTGCTAACTTTCTTTTTGTTGTTGATCAGGTAAGGTTTAGTATATTTTATGGCAACTTTTAAAGTTTCTAAAAAATCCAATTTCAATTGGAATCAGCTCAAATTTTCCACTCATGTTGATACTTACATGCATTGGAAAATGTAATAGAAATTTTCTCATAGCCATTTTTGACAAAATACCGTGTACTATGATGCAGGGACCTTGGCCACATTTTACATCAATTTCCAAAAAATGCAATTTTAAGACTTATTCCGTGTGATTATCTTATTATAGAAAGAGTGCAATGGATTGGCCAGTCAGTGTTGTGGACAAATCAGAGGTTCCTGTGAAGCCTACTGGGCTATCTGCAGTCACTTTTATGACTCTGCCCCCAGTGGAGTATACGGTACAATGAGTTACCTCTCGCGTGCTCTGCTCCAGACCATCCAACAGAACCTACCAAGAGATTACTCGTGCAAAATCAGTTGATGTTTGTCTCAGTGTGTGCATGTCCCTAGACCATATAATTCATGTTGTTTTCATTATTCATATTATTATACTTAGATTATTATATATCAGGTTTGTATACTTCAATGTTGCATAATTTTTAATTTCACGTGGCATAAGGAGATCATCAGAATGATTATTAGCAATAGTTATTTTTTGGTGAAAGCTGTAAAATTTGATGGCTAGTGCTAAAACATGCTAAAACATGGACCAGCATGTATTGTAGTATGCTGGTCTAGGGTCATTGATCAGATTTCTGAGTAAATTTATAATTTAATGACGGTCTAGGGTCATTGATCAGATTTCTGAGTAAATTTATAATTTGCTGACAAGAAGCTGCTGAACCTGTGGCGAATCCTGAGCTCACCCATTGGGAATAAAGGAATCGATTTATATTAGAAAAATGAAAAATATTTAAAAATATCAACTGCATTATTGAGAACAATCTTTACTCATTGGACATTGTGTGTCTTTCTTGATTTATATTTGTGCTTGTTAAAGCCAGCAACTATTGTTGCTAGTGGTTTTGGAGAACACAACCTGTAAAAATAGGTATCAAATAATTTTAAAAACTCATACCCACAAAGCATGTTAAATGCATGCATGAGCTGACAGCCATAAAGCAACTTTAAAAATAAAAAAATAAAACAATAAAATTAAAAAAATAAAGAATAAAAAATATAATAAAAAATTAAGATTAATTTAAAAAATAAATAATAAAGTTAAAAAATTATTATTGTAATAAAAAATTAAAAATAATAAAATAAAATTTAATTTACAAAATAAAAAAATTAAGAAAACATTATAGCAAAAAATTAAAATAAAATGTAAGAAAATAATTGAAAAATAAATAAATAAATAAAAATAAAATAAAAAATTAATAAAAATTAATTCAAAAATTGAAAATTAAAAAATTAAAAATAGAATAATAAAAATTAAAAATAACAAAAATAATAATTATTATAAAAAATTAAAAAAATTTAAACAAAAATTAAAAAAGAATTAAATAATAAAAATTTAAAAAATTATTTTTATGAAAAATTAAAAAAATTTTTTAATTATAATAAAAATTAAAATTAAAAAATAAAACATTTTAAAAAATAAAATTAAAATTAAAAATATATAAATTAGTAAAATAAAATTTAAAAAAATAATAGTTAAAAATTTTTTAAATAAAATAAATAAATAATAATAAAATTAAAAAAATTTTAAAATAATAATTAAATTTTTTT